CAGGGAGTCCAGCCCCCAGGGCTGGCTCAGGGGTTGAGCACCGACCTATGAACCAGGAAGTCAAGGTTCCCTTACCTGGCATGTGGTCAGGGCACCTGCCCGGGTTGGGGGCTCCATCCCCGGTGGGGGGCGTGCAGGGGGCAGCCGATGGGTGGTTCCCTCTCATCACTGATGTTTCTCTCTCCCCTGTTCTTCTGTGAAATCAATAAACATATATTTAAGTAAATAAAGTGGCTAATCTCTGCAGGCTCCCTCTACTTTCTTGTCTTTGGAATGTTTGGGGCCCTCTGACGTCTTCCATTCATTTAGTTGCTTTTCTTTTTTTTTTTTAAGAAATGCTATTGGATATTTGCATTATTTATATTATTTTTATTGATTTCAGGAGGGAGAGGGAGAGAGAACCATGGATCGGCTGCCTCCTGCACGCCCCCCCACTGGGGATGGAGCCCACAACCCAGGCCTGTGCCTTGACCTGGAATCGAACCGTGACCTCCTGGTTCAGGCTGACACTCAACCACTGAGCCACACCGGCCGGGCCGGTTAGTTGCTTCTTGAGGCTGTTTCCAGCTCAGAGCCGTTGCTGCTCTGTGCCACGACTAGAGTGGCGTGGGCTTGCCAAAGAGCCTGGAAAAACAGCTCCATGAATGCCTGGGTCTCCCCGTCAGGGGCTCTCATCACTCTTACAATCCACACGAGCCGCCCACAGCGGCCTGCAGGGCTCCCCTTCCCTCCTCAGGACACCCACCAGCCGGTCTTGAACTTGCCAGACTCCTGCCCCTTCTGCAGCCTTTCCCTGGCCCCGTCCCCAGGTCTCTGCGGGGCGGCCTCTCTGCACCCTCCCTGTGCCTCAGGGGCACCTCTCAGGGGGACCTGTCCAGGCTTTAGTTCCAGCCCTGGCCCCGAGGGGCCCCAACTCTTTACCAGCTCTTTTACTGATTGATTTTTAGAGAGAGAGGGGAAGGGAGAAAGAGAGAAGCATCAATTTGTTGTTCCACTTAATTGCATACATCAATTGCTTTCTAAAAATATATATATATTTTATTGATTTTTTAAAAATATATTTTACTGGTTTTTTACAGAGAGGAAGAGAGAGGGATAGAGAGACACATGGATGAGAGAGAAGCATCAATCAGCTGCCTCCTGCACACCTGCACACCCCCTACTGGGGATGTGCCCGCAACCAAGGTACATGCCTTTGACTGGAATTGAACCTGGGACCCTTCAGTCCGCAGGCCGACGCTCTATCCACTGAGCCAAACTGGTCAGGGCGAGGAGAGAGCTTTTTAACAAATAGTATGTAAATGCTGCTAGTGATATGGAGTCTTAAGAAGCATACTAAACCGTTCTTCCCTAATCCCTTTCCTTCTGTATGAGTGATTTACTCCTGAAGTCCAAAAGTCATTGAATAATTGTCAAGTTCTACTTGTGAATATGGAGTAGTAGAAAACCGCTCAATAGTCCTGCAGAATTTGCCACATTCTAGATTTTGCTATCTCTGCGCCCTGACCTTGGCTGTGACCTTGAGCAAGGCCCTTGCAGCCCGAAGCCCGTGTTCTCGGTTATAAAAGAGGGATCGTGACCTCGTCTCGTCTGCATTGAGGAAACGGGAAAGGACACGTGGGTGACGTGTGCGCCCCAGTGTCCAGTTCCCACGGAGACCCGAGGGGCTGGGCGCGCGTGCGGAGGCGGGAGGAGGCCTGGGGTTTACCTTTGGGTTCACAGCGCGTGCAACCGGCTTCCCACCGACTGTGAGCGAATCCGCTTTCCTGTTCAGGAGACTCCGTTTCATCCGAACGGGGAGCCCAGCCCCCAGGGCTGGCTCAGGGGTTGAGCACAACTCCTGTTCACATGGAGGAAGCCTACATGGCCATGAACTTGGTCTAAACAAGCTTCCAGAGAACATGGCATCCATGAAAGAGAAAAATAAAAGAACAGAAGCACAGCCGAAGTACTGAGGAAGAAATCACTAAGAAATTGTTATGTGGTCAGGGCACCTGCCCCGGTTGGGGGCTCGATCCCCGGTGGGGGGCCGATGGGTGGTTCCCTCTCATCACTGATGTTTCTCTGATGAAGTGATAGGAAAAAATAGTAAATAAAGTTTGAAAACATGTGAGAGAACTGAAATGCATAAATATGTCACAATACCTATTTATATACTGTAGATGAGGCCCCTAGAACCTCTCCCCTGTTCTTCTGTGAAATCAATAAATATATATTTAAGTAAATAAAGTGGCTGTAATCTCTGCAGGCTCCCTCTACTTTCTTGTCTTTGGAATGTTTGGGGCCCTCTGACGCGTAAGAAATGCAAAAAATGCACTGTTAACAGTTCAATTCTCAAGTTGCCCTCCTTAAAAATCACACTGCCCCCCTACGGGGCGTGTGCCCCCGGTGGGAACACTGGGTTGGGGTGACCAGGGACAGCACGTGCCCTGACTCCTAAGACCTTTCTCCGTCTGAACGTCCGGTGTTGAACGAGTTAGCGAAGCTTTGGCTGAACCTCTCTGCGTGGTCACTGTGTCCACAGGCCTTTCTGGGTGTGGAGCTTCCCTTCGGACCAGACAGACTTTTGGTTAAAGGCTTGTCCACATGAGCTACATTCAAGACGCGTCTCCTCTGTGGACTTTCTGGTGCTGAACGAGGCTGAAACGCAGGCGAAAGGATTTCCCACAATCACCGCACTCCCAGGGCGTCTCTCCGGGGTGAGCCCTCCGATGTTTAACCAGGCTGGACCTGTAGCGAAAGCTTTTCCCACAGTCCCCGCACTCATAAGGCCCGGCTCTGGTGTGCACCCTCCGGTGCTTGACCAGGCTCGAGTTCTCACCGAAGAGTTGGCCACAGTCCTGGCACTGAAAAGGCTTTTCTCCAGTGTGAACTTTGCGGTGCTGCATGAGGCTACAGCTTTGGCTAAAAAACTTCCCACAGTCCCTGCACTCATAAGGCCTTTCTCCAGTGTGGACTTGCCAGTGAGTAGTGAGGCTGGCCTTGTGGCTAGAGAATTTCCCACATTCAGTGCACTCATAAGGCCTCTCTCCAGTGTGAACCCTCTGGTGTTTCATGAGGCCCGAGCTGAAGCTAAAGGATTTCCCACATTCGCTGCACTCGAAAGGCCTCACCCCAGTGTGGACCCTGTGGTGCTGGATGAGGGTGGAGTGATGCCGGAAGGCTTTCCCACACTCCCTGCACGTGAAGGGCTTCCCTCCGGTGTGAATTCTCCGGTGTTGAACCAGGTCTGCCTTGCGGCTGAAGGATTTTCCGCATTCGCTACAGCCGTAAGGCCTTTCACCCGTGTGAACTATTTGGTGCACGAAAAGGTTGGGCTTATGGCTAAATGCCCTCCCACACTCGCTGCACTGGAACGGCTTTTCTCCGGTGTGCGGCCTCTGGTGCTCCACCAGCAAGTATTTCTGACCACAGGCTTTCCCACACTCCTGCACTTGTATTGCCTTCTTTGGGGGTGATGTTGGGCGGCCCTGCATGGCACCCCTGTACTGTGAGTCTCCTGCTGCCTGAGACCAGTGCCGGCTGGAGAGTCCTTCTGACCTCGTGCCCCCTCTTCTCCTCCTAAGGGCTTCTCTCCACAGTGCAGCTTCCGGGGTTGGCGGCGGTTCGCTCTGGGCACTCCTCCTGCAGGAACACTCTCCTCCGCCTCTGCTCCGTGCCCTCAGCCTGAAAGCAGAGACGTGATGACGC